AGACTGTGCCCCACCTGACATTGGAGAAAAGACAGTGTGGGCACCCCGACAAGGTCAGCAGTCAATCACATGGCCAGTACAGAGAGACAGAGCATGGCAGCTGAATCTGCACCTATGGTTTGTTCAGAATAATCAACAAACCATCGGTGCAACAACAAAAATGTCTTTGAAGGAAACCCAGGGTTCAGCTGGCCAAGAGGTTCAACATTGTTGCCCTTTTGTTTTGAGGAAACGGTTTACCACTGTGTTGTTACTTAGTCAGAATGATGAAAAGATGCAAAGTAATGTACATAGATACTAAGACTGAATTAGCTACCAGGTCCAAATGGGCATCTGCCTTAGGATCACTGAGGGGACTCGTATAACAAGTGACATGGGCTATTTTAATTGAATCGCAATATACAAGTGGAAGACGCATGCTGCTTCGTGCTGCTTGGTATTCATTTTGATAACTAATGAGGTGCCTTGCCCTAAGGAAACTATTGGCTCACCTTGTTTTGTGCATTTCTTAAGGTTTTTGTGCCTGGGGGCACCAATGCAGTGTATTTAGTATATACTAAACTGCCACCTGGTGTCAGTGTTTTGTGCTTTTCTTAGATTAGAGAAAAACAGAGGCAGGAAAAATGGGTTTGCAAAAACCCAGGAGAAGGCAGGAAATGAATATATTTCTGGGGCAGGACCCCCAACTGTGCCCCCCTAAGACCTATCTACCTGCCCTGTCTGTATCTGGTTGGATTCTTTAATGCTAAAATGTATGGCTCAAATGTCACATAAGAAAAGGAAAGGCTGAGCATAACAAAACTCCCAGGAACGGCGAACAAGAAGAAGCGCAGGGCCAGTAGGGACAAGAGAACTTTTAACCCCCTGACAGCATCTTGGTCTGGGGTTGTCCTTTCATGTGGCCACTGGAGGGCAGTAGCACCTTAGTCATGGGTATTTTAAAAGGACAGCATGACAGCTGTCAGTTGCATTGACCAAAGAAATAAGTGGCAAATTGTGGGTTTGTTTTGTTTTTAATTAGCCCTCTGATTTTAGGAAACGCATGAATATGCTTGATCTTTTAGCTGTAGATGAATTAGGAAGAATGGCATTACCAGAAATCTGATGGTAAAAATCTACGATTTCAAAACCGATCTGGATGCAAGTCACAGTGACTGAGAAACATTTGGTGCTTGGTGATAGACATCAGAGAGAAAACTACACAGCAGCAGTAAGATTCTTTTTTAAAACATTGGCTGAATTTTCCTGGTTTAATTTTGACATGTGCAAACATGTCTGCATCTCAGCCTGCCTTTACAAAGTGCTATCCTTTCCCAGTGAGGACTCCGGCTGAAGTGGAGATCAGGTATTTCATTTTTCACTGAGCTTTTAGAAACACTTCAGAGTGACTGAGCAGAAAGGTGGAGATATACAATTCAAAACAAAAGGGATAGCTATTATGAACTTTGAAGAGGTTCTCCATTTTTTTAAAAGATTATATTTTCTATTCTGTTACTGCAAGTAGGCTAAATAGCCAGTCACAACCTGTTTGCCTTGCTGCCATTTGACAAGCTGCACACAAGTAGCATGCCACCAGTAGTTTCTTCCCTTGGGCTTTGACATTACTAACCTAATGCAATGACTAAATTATTTATGTTTCATTTTCATTCATTTTATTATTTCATTTTTTGTCATTGCTTTTGTGTTGCATGTTTTTAATTAAATTATCTTGAATAAGCCTCTCTCTCTCTTATCCTTCAATACTCATCCACACTCAGAGTGCTAGAGGCTAGATTATTCCGGATTGTAGGAAACACTTGATAATGGAAACTTTCTTGAATGGCAGGAAATGCACAATGCAATTTTGAATGCATCTACCCTGGAAACTATGCAAGCTAATCTAACCAAGCAAGTCTTGGTAAGTTTTACATGTATCATACTAACTTTTACTCACCTTCTAAAGCCATTGTGTGCTGCATAGGAACGGACCTTTAGAAATCCCTCCCCCACACACCGTTACTATTAACACTATTAATGAAATATACAGTTCTGTTTATCTAAGCTAAAACATGCAATATCGTCCTGTAAGAAAAATAAAAATCAGAAAGTTAAGTGGTCCACAATGATACATCTTCAGCCAAAGAGTGTATGCATTTACCCCCTTTTACCACTAGATGGAGCGCCACATCAATCTCCATTGAACAAAGTACAAAAAAACGGTACTTTGACCACAGTCAGTGAGCTGCTCGTGTTTGTTGAGATGCTCTTTTATACAAATTAACCTCACGCTTACGTTTTTTATTTCCTATTTCCTATTTTAACTGCTGGGTTACACCTGCTCATATAGGCCCACATGTCCAGCCCCTTTGGCGACCCCTTTCATCCCTATATAAGTTACAGTCAGGCTACAAGCTAGTGGGGCTCGCCTCTGTTTCTCTCCTCTAGAGTCTCCCACAGGTGAGCGCAAACTTTATCTGTCATTTTAGGAAACGTGAACTTTTATTTTGGCGTTTTTTTAATTAATTAATTAATTTTGTTTAAAAATTTCTGTGTTTAAAATGCTCTTCAACATCTAGTTTAATAAGGAGCTACTGGAGAAGCTACATTTCGTTTTTAGAGATAAGTTAGCTGAAGGTGACTCAATGTTGGGCTAAGGTCACGGACTGTAGACGAGCATTCAATAAACATTTACAGTATTTCACATTTCATAATCAGTAGCTAAGTTTATCCTTACACATAATAGAAGAGGGAATGCAATAATTCTGAGGCTAAGGCCTCTTAAATCTACTCTTCATGTTGATTTATGATTTATGTTTTTTTGAGCAGCTATATATAACATGTTTTACTTAAATTCAAATTCAAATTTTAAATTGAAATTCAAATTAAGTTAACCCTATTTGTTAAATGTCTAAATATAAATATGATTTTGTATTTTGTTATGTAGATCAGAAAAAATTAATAAATATCTATTTTTTTAACCTATTTTAAGAGAAGATACCTAACCTGTAAATAAGCCTGACCTGTTATAAAGTATATAGTAAGTAGTAAAGCACAATATAAGTTCATTTTTTAATTGATTAGGATACAGTTTATGAGTAAATACATCAGCATTAGAAGTATCGGTGTGTGTGATCTTGCACGAAAACCAAGGTGAGTAAATCAGTAACAGTGTAACTTGTCAGTCTTGTGTGTGTGTCTGTGTGTGTGTCTGCCAAGACTTTGAAACAGGGCCCATTTACACAGGTTATGTGTTTTGAATTAATGCAAATATTTGGCAGGTAGAGGTTTTTGTGTGCTACAGTAAATATAACTGTGCATGCAAGCACCCGAGTTGCTCAGGTTATTGATACCAGGAGAAATAAAACGGGCGGCGCGTCCTTGTGTGAACTGGGTGTGAACACCAAAACACACAGTTATCAAATTCAGCTGGCAGAGCCAGTTAAAGGCAGGCAAACATCACAATGTGCCTTTTGAAAATACACACGGCGGCTCACACAGTGATTAGCACGTAGTTTACTTATTATCCGCTGGATTATGCTTTACTGAAAACTGGTGGCAAATGTTGGCAAAATGCCCCACAGTGCTTTCTTCCTTTATGGATTAGTGTGAAGTTGTAAGAAAAACCTGCTGTGCATTTAGAGTGCATCTGTATCTACAACTTTACAGTGCCGTCTAGCTGTGACTGTATTTGTCCTCCCTTCCTTTTCTCTCTTGCAGGGGGACAGGAGAGTCGAGAGTTGGAGGGCTGCCAAAAGAGGCCGGCCCGCCTCGCAGCTGAAACTTTTACAAGCCAAGCAGGAAGACACACGGAGAGCGATCGAAGAAGAAAAGGAGGAAAAGAAAAAGTGAGAAAGACATCTGAGCTCCTTTCTCTCGATCTTTCTGTCTCGCGTCTCTGTGTCTGCCTTCTGCCCGTCTCTCCTTTTCTTTTCTTCTTCCTTGTTAAAGCCATACTGTATTTGCCCGCCTTTGTTGGCAGGGGGTAAATGTAGGGCTTGAGGACAGGGCGGGAGGGAAGTAATGGAGGGGTGTGGGGACTTTGAGTTCAGAGAGTTCAGCTGAGGAGAGAAATAAATTCATAAACAACAAAGGAGACGTGACGTCAGGGTTGAGGGGCTGTCCAACCTGCTGCCTGAATCTGAGCCTCCATAGAAGAACCGGATTCTTCACACCACGTGTGTGTGTGCGTGCGTGTGTACAGTATGAACGTGTGTGTATGTGTGTGTGCGTCCATTGTCCTGTCTTTGAGAAAAGACTTGTGGTGTTCAAGCAGAGAAGCTGGGCTATTGTGGTCTGCTTTGTGTCCGCAGTTGGTGTTTGAAGACTGAGAGAAGCCTCTGGTAATGTGTGTGTTGGTATCTGTTTGGCCAGTCAGAGGACTCCGCCGCTATTATTACAGCAGCTGCGACAACGAATTAGGCGTTTCACTCGAAACAAGCTTTGCTTTTTGTCTGTAATTGGTTGCTTGAATCGAATGGTAGAAGAGTGTTCCTGGGTTTTTTTAGAGTTACACTCAGTATTTTCAAAATGACATCAGCTCGGAGGTGAGTGCTGATTGGTTGGCTCGGCTTGGGATACCCGCTTCAGCACCAATGATTGGCCCGCAAGCTGGCTACAGAGAAGGTCGGCCATTAATGAGCAGATGGATTTATGTTTTCTCTCCTAATGATTGAGGTCATCTAGAGGCGACAGCTCGCTGATCCAAGATCTGCATTGGTGTTCAACTATCATGCTCGGGTGAGAAAGCAAAGGGAAACCTGGGAAGGATGCCAAAGGCAGGGGGGGAAAGTATCCACCCTCCCTGCTCATTGATTCATTTAGCTGAACTCTCTCAAAGCCCTCCCTCTCACGAGGGCTGATATTATCCCCAATGGAGGGAGAGAGGACGGATTGAGGGGAGACGCAAAGAAAAACGGGCAGAACAGAGATGTCAAAAAAGACAGGAAGTCTGCCAGGAATCCTTTTTCTGGTGAGAGAACTTGAAAAACAAAAGTCCAACAGCGTATATGAGAAATCTCAAGCCAGTTTGAGCTTCTTTAAAAAAAATCTATTGACTGTATGAACATGGTGAGATGCAACAATATGGCAGAAGTGTCGGGATCTGCTTGTCTCTCTCGCCATCTGTCTGTTGCTGCAGGATAGTATGAGTGGGGTATGTTTTGGATATTGGATAATAAAGGTGTACGTGAGCCGATACCGGACTGTTTTGTGTCGCCGCGTCGGCTCACGACAGTTGACGTTTCTTCTGGTACTTTGTTTCCTTGTCTTTCTGTGGCACACTCTCAGTCTTAACTCTTTTCTCGGACTCCTCCTCTTTCTGTTCCTTCTCTCGCTACAGCATGTCACTCCCTTCCTCTTTCTGTGTCTCTGCACCCCCCACCTCCTCCCGTCCTCCCCTCCTTTCTCTCTCCTTCCCTCTTGGCAGCGGTGCCAAAGTGGGCTGGCAGACCGAGGCAAACACAGCACAGGGCAGAGCAGAGGGTGATCCAAAGGCTGGTGATTTGATTATGTGTATGTCTGTGTTCTTAACTCCTCTGTTGTTGGCGTCTTCTCGTGTTTGACTCTGTTTTGGTTATACGCCACTGACAGTAATGCAAGTCTGCTGCTGGTCTGTTTTGGACCTCTTGCTGTTGGTGTGTTTGATATTGTCGTTTGTGTGTGTATGTATTTTCTTTTCGCGTGTGTGTCACAGTGGCTGTGTGTGAGCAGACGTCCCTCTGTCACCTCGTGTACGGACAGACGCACTCACGCCAGTAGGAGGGGATTGTGGGAAGGGGGTGTAGCTCTCAGAGGGTGTGCTCTACTCCTCTCTTTTCCCTTCTTCCCGCCATCACGGCCCTCTTCTCCGTCAGTCGTCCGGCCCAGCCCGTCGCTCACTACAGGCTTCAGGTATTTCCCTTTTTTTAATCCTGTGACACCTTTTCCCTGCAGTCTGTCTCCCCGAGTTCCTCTCGCCCTGTTCTCTGTCCTTTATCGTGGTCTTTCTCCTAAACGTTGTCTGTTGTTATCGGTTGCCACGCCGCACTCTCCTCGGCGCCATTTTGGCTCAATGTACATAACAGGAGAAACTTTTCTAGAGCTCAGAGGGACACTGCGACTCCCTGCTGACAGTCTTCTTTCCCCTGGTGTCTCTATCTCTTTCTGTCTTAACCTGAACCCCTCTTTGCTGCAGGACAGCAGGCTCTGACGGGGGGGTCAACAGTATTTTCTGTGGTTTTCTGTATTGAACAGGTGTCTCTTTGGAGACTGGTAGGAGGGACGACAGGCCTTCTTGGTTACTCACTGACCTCAGAGGGTTGTGTGGCTTGAGAATGGTTGTGAGCTTCAGGTTAGTGTAAGTATAGGTGCTAACCAGTGTTGAAGAGCTGTTATGGGACAAGTGAGGCACAAATCTCTTATCATCCGGGGCCATGGCGATAGAGGTAATATAAGGACAATATTTACTTCCTTTGTTTCTAGCCACTGTAAAAAGTCTGATATATGGCAGAAGTTTCACAGAAACATGTTTGCTGGTGCAGTTGTGTGTCCAGTTTTATGCTTTTTCAGTCTAGAGTTGTGTCTGTTTGCCAAAAGATAGCTGCTACAACACTGCGTCATTAACATCTTTATATACTTTACATTTCAGAGGAAGCGTTGGGCAGAAATGAAACTGACGATGCTGTAAAGAAAAAGGTTTTTTCAGTAGTGAGACGAATGTTTTGTTTTATTTGGTTTTGTTGTTGTTGCTTTTTTTTGACGTGCCATATGAGAAGAAGAAATTTAAAGAGGAGCGGTAGCATTTGTGTGACTGGTGTGTATTTAGGCAACATGTAAAACTGTCGTATATAAGGGTCATTTTGATTACAGCTGTATGTCAGAGACCAGAACACTGCACTTGAATTAGACAAGCGACTGTGCATATTGACCAAGAGCCGTTGCAATAATTTAACCAAATTTAGTTGGTCAGATATTACATTGAAATATCTGCTTACTGTACATGTAATTAGGAACCTAACTGGACAACTTTATGCCAGAGCTGCATATTGCATCTAAATATGGGTTGGTGTTAAAATGGCGCCTTCATGCCACGTGTAAACAGTGAACACCATCAGACCTTTTCATCATACCCCTCACAATTAGCGGCTATGCTACTCTGTCAAGTCTCTATTTTTTCTGAATGCTTATCTTTCGCATAAAGTGGCAAATGGCTGCATAACAAAAGTAAACTCGTTTTTTGTTTGTTTGTTTTTTGGATTTTTTGCATATCAAAATGTGGTACTAAAGAAAGACAAACGTTAAGAGGAAAAAGGGCTTGAAAAAATATAGAGATCAAAAGTTACAGAGATAGAAAGAGAGGGAGGAGTGGGAGTGCTCTTTCCCCGCCCCTCTCGTATCCTCAGATGAACTTATCGTGTTGCCTCATAATGCTTCTGAGTTTTTCTCCTAGAGGCAGTCAGGCTTACTTCCTTCATTCAGCCTCGACATAGCTGATTGGTTGATATCTTGGCTGACCGACCGCGGTTTGGAGCGAAGCAACAGGAAGTTTCTCTTCTCATGCAGGAAGCTGCAGCTGTTTCGTCCTGACACACACTGCTTTGCACTTTTGCACGCATTCTCTTTGTGTGCATGTGCACAAATATGCACATGCACACATGCACTGGCTTTGAAAGGGCATACCTTTCCAAGTGTTTGTGATTATATGCTGTATACGTGCATGCTTGTGTACAGTCTGCACCGTGTGGCATTTGTAAATGCTCTAACATGTGGGCGTGTAGCGACATGCAAGGCCAGGATTCTGAGCTATCAGAAACATTTGAAACCATGGTAACCACACATCTCATTAGCACATTAGCAAAAGCATAGACAAGTGGAGATGAGAGGACAGAGAAAGTAGATGGAGAGGAGGAAAGCGACCTTTCTTCATTCGGAGATTTTAGAGACACACACTAGTCATTCGACTACTTGGAGGACTGTCCACACAGCCCAAGCCTGCAGATTGGCTGTTTGGCCTGTCAGCCATAGCTCCTTGTCTATATGTGTATCTATGGGTCAGGTTGTTGTTGGAAGCTGATAGTCAGCACAGTGACTCCCATATGCTCTTGGCGTATCTGGGTCATATATCTTTTCCTCAAACAAACTGTCCAGCATGTTTATCCAGCGCTCAGGCTGACTCATGTCAGTTCAACATTTGTCTGTGCAGCCATCTACTGCACAAAACCAAAACACTGATCGCAAAAGCCTGGAAGCCTTTTTATTTAATTACCATTCATCTAATCAAGATCAACTGAGCTCCTTTAATGCCCACAGTTTGAGCAACTGTGCTGTGTTGTCTGTACCAGTGTACGGTTGTGTTAGTACACACATATGGCAGCATATCTCTGCATACATGCGAGCATGAGCTGTGTGTTGTGCCTAGCTAATGAGGATATACAGAACATCAGAGCGGGCACCATGCCAAGTGGGATGGTAGAGGCTCAGTGCTCCTTCGTCCTCTAATGCAGGAATATAGCGTTCCTGAGAGAGTGGGAGGATGAAAGCTTGTGTGATAAAGTCACCATGGTGCTTTTAAGAGGATCAGTAAGAATGGACGTGAGTTAGACAAGCAGTCAGTCGGGGAATTCTTCACTCTGCCATCTATTGTGGCTTACTTCCTCCATCAACGCCACCGCTCCTCCCCCTCTTTAACCACCACCTCCACCTCCTTACTCCCCTTATTGAAATTCTGCCTGGCACACAGACTCTGTCCATTCTTGGCACAAAGCTCAGAGAGCGAAAGAGAGAGAAACACACAAGAACCTGTACCAATCGTCTGGTGCCCCGTCCGTTGTGCCTGTGCCAAACATTCATTCTGTCTCGCGGACCGAGGGACCAGGCGAGCCAATAGGTGTTTTCCTGCCTCTGCTTCCTGCGATAATCTGCTCCAATTTTGAGGACTTTTGTTGGCAACTGGGTATGCTGCGAGTGTTCTGAGATTCGATAATTAACCCGCGTGTTTACGTTGTTTGCATCGGACAAGGAATAAATCGCCCGGTGGGGGACAAAGTCTGAATCCTCCCGTCAGTGGAGGAGAGGAGCTAAGGCTGCTTTCCATTATATTCTTAATCCTTTTTTTCACGTGGGTTTCTGTTTGTTTTAATGTGGAGACGTGAAGTTTGTAAAACCTGGTTCCCTTTGCTCGCCGTTTTAATGGCGTTTGCTCTTTGTTTGACACCGACATGTTTAGAAAGAAAGAAGAGAGGACAAAATGAGCGGGCACGCCGTGGTCAATATGTCCATTAAAACATTAAACCATCCATTCTGATTTTAGTCTGCGGTCCACAAAAGTCCACTTTGGCTTCTTTCTAGAAACTCAATGAAGGCAAAGTGTTTCTTAAAAAGGCCTCCCAGTTTAGTAACTGGTATAAAAAGACTTGATGTTGAAATTTCATTCTGTGGGCTTTATAGAGAAAAGTGATGCCAAAGAGCTCAAACTGTCAGAGGCTTTTGGAAACCTCAAAATACACGTGTGACTGTCACCCAGAGAAGGATGACAAGGCCGAAGCAGGAAATCGCCTCCAGAAAAACACATCCTGGTTGGTCACAGCAGAGTCGTGTTATCAGAGGGTACGAGTGGACAAGGCCCACGTTTCTTGGCTTACACTGAAACCGCCGCTGTGAATTTACAAACATTCAGCCGTGATTCTGCTGTGACAGATGCACAGTCTGTCTGATAGGCAGATGGGATTAGCTCAGAAGGCCAGATTTCTCCAAGTTCCTCCAGCTGCCCCGCAGACGAGAGCTGCGTTTATTTTCAAGAAAAAGTTATCGGGCCAGCCGGGACATACGTACCTGCAGAAAATATCTGCGCCCGCAGACGACAGCGCCCGGCACGTGACTGACCGAGTCGACTCCGGTTTTGCACAATTAACCCAGAAAGCACAGAACTCCCCACCAGCATTTATTGTGTGCATGTTTTCCTACTCGGATGTCTTGTTAAATCTTCGTTAACTTGGCCCATTTCTCCGAGAGCACTGCGTCGTATCAGCCTTGTCCTCCGAACGCGGCTGCAGTCGGGGGACGTTTCTTGGCGACTAAGCAGAGCCCATAGATCTGTCACTGGCGTGGTGACAGAGTCGGGCGTCACGCCAGCGCACCCCCACCCATTCTGTCTGTCTGTAGTCAGTCTAGCAGGGTCTACTGCATGCTAACTATAGGCTGGTCTGGACCAAGTCTCAGGGGTTGTGGCTGTATGCTAATTTATGCAGGCGGTGTACCTTCTAACCTCATCTCTGTTAGTCTGAGGCCCCGGCCTGGCGTTTGTCTGCCACTCATTAACCCCGCAGTTACTGGCATGTCAACCTGATGTGCACGGAGCTAATCTTTATCTCATGCTTAGCAATAGTTTAACTGGTAATGGCTGAAGGAGAAGCAACGACTTCCCAAATGAATCAAACTTTAACAGAGCAAAATGCCTGCCCGCTCTGTGAGGGTGCTACTGAAACATTGCATGGACAGAAACATGCTGCACGCGGTCGTGGCTTCGTCCAGCTGCCTGATAAGTAAAGTTAGAGTTTCCCTCTCGCTCCGTGATAGTGTCGTCTGGCTCTTTTGGCTTCGCCTTAGTGTTGGCACAGGACTGACTCTCCATCACTCCTGATAGAACAGCTGTGCTTTCTTCATCACGATGCAGCAAGCTCACGAAAAACCTAAAAGGTAGACCCTTACAGTGTTTTAAAGCAGACCTAAAATGGCCGATGTGCAAGACGCCATTTTGTGTTTCGTTGTTGTGTTTTGGGGGGCAGAATCCCAGCTTTGTATTCAATGAGAGGCAGCTGGTGGAAGCCATATTTGCAGGCATCTGTGTGTGTACCTCCGTCTGAGGAGCAGCAGCCAGCCTGCGCAGGGATAGCCGCTGCAATGAGCTCAGTTTTTGGCGAAAACGGAGGATTCCTGGCACAGAATCGAGCAGCTCGCTTTTTTTCTCTCTTTCGATCACATGCCAGAGTCTCAGGAAGCCAGTGAGTTGTTTGTTGGGCTTTCACACATTAGTGCTCTCACTTTCCGTCGTCCACTCACCGTTAAAATGATTTGTCTCTGATTTATTTTAGCGAACGTGTTTCTTAAAGACGTTACAGAAAAACGGGGTCGATCGTGAGGATCTTCTTTTGTTTAGAAGCGATAAATGTTTCTCCAAATCTTGGCAGTTGAAGACTTGTTGGCGTGAGGCGTGAGCACTTTCACTCGTGACTTTGAGCCGTACCTATTTTAAACCAAAAAAAACAGACACGGAGAACAAAAGCAAAAATGCAACGAGGCTGCTTTTTGCACAGGTTGAATTTCAACACGTCACTCGAAGATATTGTGAAAAATGTAACTTTTTAAAGTACACGAGAATAGAACTTGAATAACCAGATGATTTCAGTGAGTTAGTTAATATTATTGAGCGCTTTCTTTCTTTGTGCCGTTGCAGGAAGGATACCTTTGCGGATCTTCGATGTTGAAGCAACGTGGATGCTGTCCTTGGAGCTGAGGTAGTAGATTGAATAGTTGTGGGGTTGTGTAACCTCTTTTTTAAATAACTATACAATCTACTGTCTTTCCCAAGAGACAGCCGAGTCAGCCGCTCGCCGACTGCCGTCTCCAAGCAAAAACACGAGCTTTCAGCAGTCTTATTCTTGTTTTCACGCCGAGCAGGTAAATAGGCCCAACATTTTTAGAAAGGTGAACCTGGGGTGTGTTTGACTTGGGCTCTGACAGGGTGAGGTAGTAGGTTGTATAGTTTGGTGGGTGGGACTGCACCCTGCTCAGGTGATAACTATACAGTCTATTGCCTTCCCTGAGGAGCTCACTGCACACTGAGGAACATACAACACATGCTCATGGCTCAAGTATGACGTTTATTGCCAGATATAATAAAAAAGGAGGAGGAAGACACGCAGCATGATTAGTGTTGAATTGACTGGAAGTGTTGACTTATGTGCTTTTAAAAGATGTACATTTTAATAAAGTCACATTTGTCTTAAATAAGTTGTCCAAAAATCAGTGAATGGCAACTTGAAATTATTTGTCACACACTGCAGTTGTGATTGTCGTCGAACAGGAGCTGTGCCGTTTGTTAGTGTGTGCCGCCCTCTAGTGGAGACACAGGAAATTGCTATCTGTAGAATAAAGTTTGCACAAATATCCATAAATGGAAATTACACTCAACTGGCTTCTTTCCCCAGTCTATGTGATTCGCTTTAATAAAGCTTTACATGATGGTTGAACACAGACTCTATGAGCAGATACAAACTTCCTGACAAAGTCCAAAAGGCCCCTTCTTGGAGACTGCTGTTCCGTCTTTATCCAGATGTGTATGTTAATGGCTCAGCTGCATGTTAATGATCTGCGAACCTGCTTTTTCCCGATGGCAACAGTTTAACCACGCAAGGAAGCGCCTCCATAATTGACCGTAGGCCTGCTGGATCTTTGGAATGCGACAGGCATAGATCACAGGGTTGACTGCTGAGTTGGCGTGAGACAGGAGAATACCTGGAACATTTGGATTGGCTAGTGTTACATTTCACAGCAAGTGGTGTGAATATTTAACAACCAGCTGCAAACTGCGTAAGGGCTAGAAAAAGTACTGTCACCTGCCTGTATAGAGCGTTCCCTGTGTGACAGCCTGAGGGCCTTGAAACAACAGCAGACAGTTCATCAGGTGGAGAGGAATCCAGCAGCCAGCAAACAAGATGAGGACGAGAGCCAGGGAGCAGGCCAGCCTCTTCTCCCTGAGCAGAGAGGCCTGGGTCTGAGGGCAGCTGTCCTTTAGACGTCCCTGTAGGCTCCAAAAGATTCGGGTGTAGAGGAGGGTCATGACCAGCAGGGGTGCCATGACACATCCGAGAAAGTTGAAGTAGACCATGAAAGGGAGGGAGATAACTGAGAGGAAAGTGCACGGCGGACGGATGAAAGAAGTGGAAGATGTGTTGGTAGAATCAGATGCTGGGGAGGAGTAATTGTGCCAGCCGAATAGAGGAGTGAAGCCAAGGAGACATGAAAGCATCCAGCAAACAGACACGCCGATCCATGTGTGCCTTTGTGTGGCCAAGGCTTTGTATCTGAAAGAGGGATAAAGCACAATAAAAGGGAAAACCTGAAAATATCACAGTGTTCACTCACAAAACAGGAGACCCAGAGTTCACCTCACCTGAGTGGTGTGTGCAACCGCAGGTATCGGTCCACAGCAATTGCTAGCAGTGACAGCACAGATGCCTGCGTCAACACCAGCACAACACAGCTGAGAAGCAGGCACAACTCAGGGATTAGACTCACCCAGCCATCCAATAATACTGCAAGGGGCACAGCGGCCACACCCACAAGGAAGTCAGCCACTGCCAAGGACACGAGGAAGCAGAATGTTGGTTCCCGAAGGGAATCCCGGATACCGAAACACACAGCACACATCACCAACACGTTACCAAAGCAACATGCTGCAGCAATAAGCACTTCCAGTACTGTGTAGGCCACCCAGCTCCATTCAGCCATTAGAGCAAGACAACCAGAAGCTGTTACGAATGACAGAACGAGTTTCCTCGAAGGCAGCTGAGTAACATCCAACACATTCGATGGTTTGTCTCTTGTTCCTTTTGCCTTCAATTTAGCAACAAAGGCACTGAGCTGATACTTTTTATATGCGAACATGCATGCGCTTGTACGTGCACGAACAACAGGCATGCACTCCATGGAGACGCCATCTGTATTTCATCAGTAAGTGAAGAGCCTTTCCCTACTCCCAATAATGTAAATGTGGCTTTTCCACAAAAGGGGTGTGTTTCGTGCTGCAGGGGGTGAAAGAAAGTTGGAGTTGCAGCAAGATGACATTTAAAAGTTCTGTTACGACAAGTCCAAGTAGAGATGTGTCCTCAGCAACACGTATCGAATGAATCAAAAGCGAAAGCTTTCATGCAAACAAAAGTCCCATAAAGACAAAGGTTTTTAATGACATATAATGGTTATGTTTATTACCTGACTGAATTTCTATTACAGTTGCATTTTACTCTGAGCCTTACAGCTTAAGGATAAAAATCACTAGTCTTTACTAGTGGAGAGAATGATCTATGAACTCAGTTTTGACTGTTAAATTTTAAGCCACGAGGTACTTGGTAACCGCAGTAAAGGAAACGTGGATTTCAGGAAAAGGTCGAATTTCTTTTCTGCCTTTCTTTTGGAATGAAAGTATCGAAACAGGTCAAAATCATACAGAAATACAATACATGATACACCAATGAGTCACTTTTACTACCTGACATTGCAAATGTGGCACGAAGAAACTACTGGAACAAAAGCTGTGAGTGTGTTTTATAAATCAAGTACTAGTACAATAGTACAATAGGTACTATTGTTTATTTAACTTGGGATTGACACTCAGTTTGGCAGCTTTATAGAAAAACAGTCTACTTCTCATCAAAGTTAGGGTGTGTATCTGTGTGTGCTCGCTTCTGTGTGTGCAGACTCTTTAGATGTTACTGATTAACACGTCTGTTTTTAGTGGCGGTTTTTCCTTGCATGCTCACTTTGCATACAATTTTGGCTGTGGGTGCAGGTCTGTCCGTCCATGTCTGTGTTTATTTGAGCCACATGCACTGTGCGGGTTATCTTTACCTTTTTACACACACACACAAGCATATAGTCAGATGTTCTGAAAATATGTGCAGATTTATTTTATCATAAAAAAGACATTTTTGACACAAACAGATCATGTTTTCTTAACCAAAATGAAGAAGATGATTGTAAACTGTATCTGCTAAACATCTGCGATACAGAATCACACACAAAGAAGAGAAATATGCTACTTTTATTTGAAGGATTTAAGTTCTACTTATAAAGTAGATGTTCTACAATAACCTTTTCGATTTACATGATAAAAGCCAGATCACCTCTCCCACCTAGCCTGTACCTGAAGTTTGCATTTACAGTTCTTCCCCTCACACTGAATACAATGTGGGTCTGTATGTATAACTGACTCTGAGCTACGGTGCATCCGCTTCTGGCTTTCAAATACTCAGTATTCATTTGTTATTCAAAATGCCACAGAACTATAATAAGCAGACACGAGATTCATGGGACACCCAAAGTGATTTCCCTTGACATCCTTTGTCCTTATTCTATTTCTATGCTAATATAGACTCATTGTTTCTACTTTGTATTTGAGTCTCCCTGTAGACATTTTAGCGTCTTCTCATCAAAGCGGTAAGTGAGCTTCCGTTTAACTTTGTGAATCTCGCCTGTGCGAGAGTAGTTCCTTAGAGCCCGTGCCATCTTCTGGTACGTCATGGGCTTGCGATTCCCCTTTCGCCGACCCCACAGCTGGGCCAGGCTCTCCTTGTTTTGGGAAGAGAACTGAAATGTGCCAGAGGAGGACTGGACCCACCAGATGCAGCTACGCATCGATGGCGTCTGAAGCATCTCAAACAGGAACTGGAACAGCCGCTCCTTCCTCTTTCCTTAGGAGGAAAAAGGGGATGTAAATACAAATATGAGGTAACACTGTCTCATATGTGCGTGCATGAAAACAGAATGCTGTGTGGGAGACGTTTGGTATTTGTAGGCTGTTGAGAGTTTTAGGTCTTACACACATGTTCAAATGTGGTTCTGTCTATGTCTGTGTGTGTGTGTGTGTCTATGTCTGTGTGTGTGTGTGTGTCTATGTCTGTGTGTGTGTGTGTGTGTGTGTGTGTGTGTGCCACTCTACCTGACAGTGGTGCAAGAGGCAGGGGATCTCTGTCCTTCCTGCTCCCTGTGTCAGAGGATGGGTGACGGCGAATCCTGGTACTGGGAGCTACTGGACTGGGAATCTGATCAATGTATCCAGATGCCTCATCGGAATATGCTATGTGTCCCTGTGGTGAACACACACACACACACACACACACACACACCACACACACACACACACACACACACACACACACACCACACAGACACACACACACACACACACACCACACACACACACACACACACACACACACACACACACACACACACACACACACACGCACACACACACACGCACACACAGACAAAAACGTGTAACTATCTTTATAAATCATATACAACACCAATGAAATGGCTCGTGTTAGTCTAAATTCTACTTCGAGTTGATCGTGCCTCTCACACAGTATGAAAAAGATAATTAAGGCTAAATTTACCAGGAAGTTGAGGTTCTTGAACTTACCCACTGGTTGTCATGGGGACTAGGCCAGGCTTGGGGCTGCTGTCTGTATTCCTCACTGTGAGAGCCACAGTGCCACTCATAAGCATGCTGACCTGACCAACTATTCTCTATAGAGAAACACAAAAGAGATACATGTAGAAATAATCCACACTCAGACACACTCTGGCATCTCTCTTATCTTCCCCCCGACCATCATTACCATCATGACACTAACCTATAATTCTGCTGCCTTGGTGGGAGTGTATGTGTTGCCCCATTGAGGTCAGAGGTGATGCAGGCGTGTGTGCAGGCTGGACCTCCAGTGAATGCTCCTGCAGGTACTCCTCGATGACTTCCAGGTCAACCTCAGGGCAGGAGGAAGGAGCCACTCCACTCCAGGCTCCCCTGCCTCCACTTAGCTTGATCTCGGTTGCATAAGCCATCTGACACACACACAGCAGGACATAATGAACATTTGCATTTGTTGTATCTATTGTCAGTGATAGCCTGAGGCGTTACTATGACACATAACACCCATTTTGTTTTCTTTCTTTCTTCTCATGAAGCCCATTGATGTTCTGTTGTGTGCCACTGTTGTGCTGTGATGCACACAGTGAATGATTTTGCTATCTGAAGATCACTGACGGACACATTCATCAATTTTGAATGAGCCTCGTTCTGTTTAGAGCCCTAAAAAAAGAGCACAGCTCATTCTTATAATAGGATTAATTTAAATAGCACACATTTGCAAAACTTAATCTCGCACTAATGAAATGAATTTGATCCTAGCTCTGTGCTGAAGGGTTTGTGTTTTGGATAAGAGCCGAGGAACAACACTGCAAGCATGTGTATTTTAGTTTGACTGGCAAATTTATGCAAGTGTTTGTGTTTTCACGGCCGCAGATAACATGCAGGTAACCGTACCATATGGCTTAGCTTTTCATAGCCCATTTTCCAGTAGCCTTTTACCCTCAGTCTATACATAGATGACATGGTAATATTTAAGACCACATTGTCACTCAGATCCAGTTATAAATATATAAATATGCCTTTCCTTCCTTCACACAATGCCCAACAAAAAATAGAGAAAGTATCAAAAAAATCTGATCAAACTCACCGTCTCCATTTCTGTCAGCATACCAAAAGGATGATCTGGAAAGAGAAGACGACCTCATCAGTTGAACCAGTGGTCAAAACTTTGTCAAACATGAACTGAGAAGTGAAAGAAGCCGTCACACATAAACTCAACAGCACTTCTCTAACTTATCAGACACCATCATATGAAAAGAAACGACAAAAAAAGCTGACTTGGCGAATAAGCACAGCAAAGATCGACGTACCCGTCGAAGGCGCACTCCTGCGTGTGGTGCAGTAAAGTAATATCCTCAGGCATTAAAAGGCGGAGATGTCAGAATGTGAATGCTCACCTGTGTGATGTTCCACCTGGATGTCATCTCTCTTATACTCTATCCACACATGCCCTCCTCCCCTCTCATTGGCCAGTGAGGGCTGTCAAAAGGGGGGAGTGGTTTATTTTGCCTATCTATTGTCTCTTCATACAATGTAATTTTTACGTTAGTATTATCCAAAGTGCTACTGTACAGTCACTGGTTTTATAATTGTTTTCAGGTGTACAGACGTTTAAATGTCAGCAATAAAGTTTGTCCTGTTTTTGGAGATTGTCAGTGTTTCACATTTTAAGGGAGTCAAAGCCTGCGGTGTGCCTGTGGTTTCTTATCATTTCATTTGGCACAGACGAGGTGCCATGGAGGACAATAATGTGGCTATATTATTTTGATTTTATATTTCTGTTGAGGTCAAACATGAAACTCATATGAGTAGGTTAAAAAATATGAGATATATATATATGATAAATATGATGAGTGATTTTACATATTATATTTGTTGCAGAAAAACAGATTCTCTAGAGCACAGTAACATGTAGATGTAAGTACATCTAAGGATATTTAGACATTTGTACTGTACCCTAATTTCAGAACTATGACTCACATTAAAACTTATTTGCAGACGTTTTGTATTTACAGCATTCGTTATGTTAAAACTGGGCATTTGCATAAAATCAAGTGAGAGAAGAGTGAAGGCATGCTCTCTATGCAAGGTCCGTCTCCAGGACTACTTAAAAAAAATCTAATCCTAACTAGGAAAAATAATCCTCGGGAATATCATACTTCCAATGCCTAAATGCCAGGATTTAATTATCAATGCTTGGAGTTAAAAAGAGTAAAAAATTCTTAAAACACTTAAAAGACTTTACACATCCTCAGGACAATGCAGTTAAGGTAAAATCGTGCTGTAAAAGTAAAATGTTACAACTCATCTGTGTCACAGATAATCCGCTGGTTTCACTTAACCACAAAGTTGTAACTGTAACTGTAATCTGAAATTATTTGTCATCACAGTGATAATGAATGCTCCTACACAATGACATTGTTCTTCATAAACCATTGCAGGGAAGCAAACAGCGGCAGGCATTACATCACCCCGCAGGTTTAGACAACAGCGTCATTCATAGGTGGCTTTTGATGTGCGCTGCATTGTGGCTGCTTCCTTTTTTGTGCTGTTTTTGTTGTGTGTGTGCTTTTTTTAAATTTCAGGCGTAGATTCCTGGACACAACATGTGTTGTAGCGCAACATGTGCTTTCTTTCGCACGATGTATATAGGAGAGGGATTTCCCCAAAGCTTTTTTTTGATCTGTGACAACAAACCTGTCAACCTCTTAGAGTCTGCTGTGTGCACAGGAGGACAACCTAATGAACATTAAAGCACTGTCAGGTTCGCTACAACAGTCTCAGTGGTCAAACGAACCAAGTTAAGAGTAGATAATATTAAAGCAGATAGTGCCTTTATTCCAATGCTATTTTGTGTGTGTGTTTGTGTGTTTGTGTGTTTAACCTGTGTTCATTTGAGGTCCCGCAAACAGTCCAGTAGGACACGAAACTCTTTTTCTAGTGGCGAGTAAACAGGAGTGTCAGCGATTCTTTATGTTAACCAAATGTTAAACTGATGAACTTTTTACAGTGTAGTTCTGCAAAGCATGCTGGGACATGATGAGCATCTACATCCAAAAAAAGCACGAAGCAAAGCAGCAAACTGTGTTATCAAAGGCCACTGACTCATGATAAGCACTGTCGTAACAAATCCAGCCGATTGCCTGCTTGGATGAATGATATATGGTGCATATGAAGCCGTAGAAGCAGTGGGTGTCACAGCACGATAAAAACACCGGGAATCTGGACAATAACTTTATAGCGTGTCATCGATCTGTGTACATGTTCAGTACACTGAAATATTACCACAGGCACATTCCCTGTAAATGATCAGGGTACACAGGGATCATGGTGATTGAGGGTCATTATGTCATAGTGAACGAGCAAACACTTGGGTGGCTTTCAGAGTCAGTAACGTCTTAACTAAAGATATCTGCAGTCAGATGTTTCTGCTGCTTAAATCCAGAGCGATGGTCCAACACCAGGGTGTCAAACCGTCCTCGAGGGAGCTCTTTACACGCGTCCCTGCTGCAGCACACTGAATAAAATTAGGGCATTAGCCAGACTGCAGAACTTGACTGCTGCTGAGTGGCAATTCAGCCATTGATTCCTGTTACAGCACTCATGAGTGAATGAACATTGCAATAAATGTACTTTTAGAAGTACATTTTTCCAAACACTTACATTTACTTACATTTATTTAGATTTACTTGAGTATTGTTAGGGGTCGCCACCTCAGCATGCAGTCAAGTTCTATAGTTTTGCTAATGACCTGTTTATTTTATTCAGGTGTGTTGCAGCAGGGACACGTGCGTGTTTTAAATGAATAGAGAATCAGTCCAGAAAAACCTGTCCGGCAAGGGGGAGCCATATCTTCTTTGAAAGATCAGCAGTATTTCCCGTACCTAACGCACGTGATCCCAATTTTTTTTAACTCTCAGGATGCTGACAGTATATTCCATATATTATATTAAAGTACAACCACGAGTGAGAAAGAAACGACAGAGTAGGCTGTGGTCCTTATAATGAAGAAGGATATATGAGGAATATTTGCTTACGGATCCCATGACCAGTATCATAATATCATAATTCTTTTTTTATGAACCTTCAGTTTCAGGAGGTCTCAGTTACACAAATACCATAGTAAGGATTGTTGCATGAAACTGATACCTACCTACCTACCTACCTACACTATCTATACTATCTCATCCACCTCATCCTCATCCATCCATCCATCCATCCATCCATCTATCTATCTATCTATCTATCTATCTATCTATCTATCTATCTATCTATATGTAAGAGTTCATGTACCAATTAAAACAAACTTTCATGCAATTTCCTAAAAAGATAAAATAACCAGGTAATTGTATTTTTTATAAGGTCAAAGTTCATCTCAGGAGGGGCGCACACTGATTCAGTTTTCCTCAGCTATACTCTCATCAATCAACCAAATGATTGATGAGAGTACAACTTATACCTGTGACACTTTTATTTTTCCACGTTTCATGTGTTTGGCAGCTGCACCCTGAGATAAATGCTTAGAGTTTAAGTCAGTTAAAGTCAGAAATGCAGGTTTTCAGGCACTCAAATAATCGAGCTGAGAGGAAAACAAGCTGCCTAATTGTTGACAGATGTTGCATCATTTTTATACAAAAAACCACCCATGTCTTCATACAAAATTTGAAATTACAGCAACAACCAAAAACAAAAAAAACAGCTTGCAGATTCGGGGGGTTGCTTTGCAACATGTGGTCAACATATGAAAGTCTATATTTCACTCAGAGACACAAACCAAGTAATTTTGATGCTAAAAACTAATGAAGGAAAGAAAAGGAAAAGTCAGCTGTACAGATTTGAAAGTGTTCTGTTGTAGCTCTTGGCACAAAGAGCAGATAAGAGCAATCGCCAGGTCAGATTTTCTTTACCCTGTCTGCATCCATAACATTGCACAAATGTGTGTTAAAGACGTGTCAGTATCCACAGTAGTACCAAGACATTACTGCTATCTGCAAGAACAGTTGTGCAAAAGTGTTGAATGAAATGTTTAAGGTTAGAAATAGTTGTAGCTGCAGTTGTAGGAATGATTCTTTGTCAAAATACCCACAAGAGCTTCACAAAAGGACTTGATAAACGTGTTCGGAAAAACCCTCAGCATTCAGTGTCACAGCTGACGGTTAGGGTTCTTAGAGGGCAGTCTGCACCTGGAGCATTCAGGCAAGGCGATAAGGCCAGAGAGACATTGGACCCTTGCACTCAGTAACACACACACACACACACACACACACTTGCACAGGTGGGCGAAATCTAAGAATTATTGCTTTACTAGAAAATGTAGGTGTTACAATTTGTGTTTTTGGACCTGAAATGTGCTACAGGAAACTGGAGTGGGAAAGCTAAATACGATGTGGCAATCCATCAATGTGCTGAAGAATTTACATCCAGGGGAGTCGTGCTTTAATCAGGGAATCGTTTCAAGAAGTGTTCGAGGCCAAACAAACTTAATTGATTACTTTTTCCTATCTCAAGAAGGCAGGTTAACCATCACTAGATTTATCTGCTGCACATAATCTTCTCCACTTTCCTAATTTCTTGGAAGTCAAAAAGATGATGATGACATTTTGCTGCTGTTGACATGCGTTTTCATATATTTCCCTGTTTCTTTCGTTGCTGTGCATTTGTAACGGTGTCCATGCGTGCGCGAGCGATTTAATCAGCTAACCGCACTACGTCTGAGTCACTTGATGTTTAACGGTCAAAGAATAGCAGGTGAATTGTAAAACTGGCTTATGAATGCATGTGTATACACACACGCACACAAACACACATTCAACCACTTAATGACCATTAGTGTGCGAGGCCTTGAAGCAAAGGGGCTGTGTGCATGTCTGTGTGTG